GAATCCATTAATTTTCTTGCATATTATGTTGGAGGGTATGGTGCAGCAGCAGTGCCACTGGCAGGTGGTGCAGTGGTGGTGAGTGTCCTATGGGTGGGGGTGGGGTGGCGGGGTGGCAGAGCAGGGTGACACTTCTTGTTTTGCCTCAAGTGGTGAAATGGGAGGTACAGCCCCTGATCTCAGGATTCACAGCTGTCAGTTCTGAGGGAAGGCAGGCAAGGACCCACAACCCAGGTGGAGCTCACTAACTTGGGGAATAGGTGTGTAATTCCTCAGCTGGAGTAGGCTCAGGACAGGTGAGGGTTCCATGCCTTGTCAAACCCAGAAAATTAACAGGAAAGCCGTCCTGGCCAGGCCTGCGTACATATTAGGAAAGTCTATAGACTATTATTTTATAAATATTTCACCATGCTTTGTTTCAGTATGAATACTATGTAATAGTGTTAATTCCCTTGGACTTTCTTTTTACCATATAAAGTATCAAAATCATCTTTTGTTTGCTCAGAGATGGACAATATTTATCTGTCAAGATATTGATGATTATTATCCCTGACCACTGACAATGTTGACTGAACGGATGAGAGTTGGGAGTCCAATCATACCTGAAATGCTGCAATGGTCCCCACCCTTGCTTTAGTTGGAAGTGCACTATGGAACCTCAAGGTGCTTACTGATGTGATCTCAAAGCTTCTGTTGCTTGGCTAACAGGTGATAGAGAAGAGCTAGAAGACCAGATGTTGGAAGGTGAAGAAGAAGAAGAAGAAGAAGAAGAAGAAGAAGAAGAAGAAGAAGAAGAAGAAGATGATCAAGGCAAGTACTGAGTGGTCAGCACAATTTTGATGCCTAGAAAGGTTCTAAAACATATAAATTTGTCAGTTTGTACACATTTAGATCACAAAGAGCCAGCATGGGTTACTTAAGAAGTGATTCCAGTTTGACATTATTTTCTTTTTTGAATAGAGTTACTGGTGTTAGTAGATCAGGGAAATGCTGCTGATGTATTTTATCTCTATTTCAGCAAGACATGTGACATCAAAAAAAGGCTAATGCAGTTCTAGCTTGCATCAGTTCTGCTTTGGTCTGGCAGCCAGGAGTAGTGTGCCCATTTCTGGGCACAGTGGATTAAGAAAGGTATCAGCAAACGGACATGTGTCCAAATAAATGGTGAGGAGCCTGGAGATCAGGCCATATTAAGGAAGGTGAAGGCTGCTTGACAGTGGAACAGACTGCCTTGGAAAATGGCTGACTCTCCTTCATTAGAGATTTGTAAGCAGAGATGGATGGCTACCTAACCAGGATACTGAAGAAGTGGGTTTCCTGCACTGGCAGGGAGTCAAACTAGACAACCTTTGAAGACCCTTTCCAACTCCAGGACACTGCTTTCCAAGGCATAATGATGAAATGTATACGTTCCCATTGTCCGTGTACTAGGATTTCATTGAAAGATTGTTCTCAAGTACGTGGCTCGACACATATATGCAGAAGAGTAAAAAAGGATTGGATACAATGGATAAATAAAAATCCTACTACTAGCTTACAGGTAGTCAGATTTAAACAGAAATGATATCGTAAGTTAAAAAAATAAATGCAGCTTGTCCTTGCTCATTTACTTCGGACTCAGCTGTCATTCCGAATTGCCTTTAGCCACTTCAGCTAAGCATTTCTCCTCCTGTTTAGCTTTGAGATGGAGATGTGTCTGAGTAAAGTATACATACAGGTGCTACCAGAAAGTGTCAAGATATCAAATCAAGGCAAATAATTCAGAATAGATGCTTGCAGTAAACAAGTAAGCAAACAGCCGTCAAGAAGAGGACACCTGAACTCTTGCATGTGATTATAACAGCTTCTTAAATGCAGTACATAAAATAGAAAAGTAGTACAAACTCATGCTGCCACTGTTTAGTTCACTGGAGGGGGGAAATTAATGGCTGCTCTCTTTTCCTCATTAACCTGTTGGGTTGTAGGATCCACTTTTTCAGGGTGTGATCCCTTATTGCTGGGAAAATACACAAAAGTATTGGAACCACATGAGTGGGGCAAATTGTACAGGTCTTTCATAACTGAGGTCCATATGATCAGGTGATGGAATTGCACAATGGGGGAAAGAGATATTGAAGGTGTGCAATGGTAGAGCAGTTGCAGGTGCCTTTACCTATGAGGAAGTAACTTGATTAAGTTTCTCACACACAAATACTTGGTCCTGTTCAGGGCTGACATTCACTCTGGGAGAAACACTTCTACTGAAAAGCAGGCCAGTGGTTAAGAAGCATGTACCTTTGACACACTGCCCAGTTCTGCAGGTATAGTTTACCAGCAGTATGTGTGAAAATTCTCTACCCTTTAATTTCACACTAAATGTTTGCTGGTGGGAGGGACACAAAGGATAAAGAGAGAGTGCAATGAAAAATAGCCATTAGCAGAACCCTGTGTATGTGGACAATAGGCCTTGTGGACAACACAACACTGGGGACTTAAATTAAGGCACAGCGAAGAAACATTTTCTCTAAATTAGAGGTTTATGCACCTTTTGCACTGTGACCTGTCTGAACAACATAGCAAAGAAAAACGTAGGCTTCCAAAGGGTCTCATTCTGAGGTGACTGCTGTATGCTAGAGTAACAGTATTGCCTGAGGGCTGCTATTAGTCACAGGCAGAGAGAAGCCTTTTTTGGTACCCAATTTTCTTTTCATTTCTTTAACAAACCAGCTGGTTTGAAAATGTACTACTCTCATTTTACTGAGGAAGACAGCCTCAGGATATTTTCCAATGGCTAAGCCTGCAAATTCATTGATGGAAACACTGATTCCAAGATCAGTCCACTCATGGTTAAATTCAGTTTATAAGCTCATCCCTCAAAACTGATTTACAATTTCTCCTCAGATAATAAGTTATCTCTTCCTGTTTATACTTGGATTCTTTCTTCTCTAACTTCAGTCAAGGTCTTAATACTTGCAAAGTCCTCCCCATCTCCCATTCCTGTCTCTCTTTGATATTCAGAGTTTGGGACTGCAATTGGAAGAGCATATGATCAGTAAGGAGATGTATTATTCCAGATAATTCTGGGTATCAGGCTAAACAAAATGTATTTTATGCAGAAATATGTGTTTAGAAAAAAACCACATGCGGTACAACTATTTATCAGTGTTAGTTGTCAAAAATATTGGCTAGCATTTCAGTTTTACACTTTTTTCCAGCTATAAAACATGCACACCTGCTCTCAGTCTGAACTCTATTAACTGAGAAAAAGGAAGGAAAAGCACCCTCTTAGAATTCAACATGTTGAGAAAAACATTTCTGGACTCAAAAAATGGGCTTGTGGTGCAAAAGGTCACTACATTACAGTCTGTACTTTGTGTAAAGTAAACCTGTTCCATATTTGGCACAAGAGACTTACCTGCATAATAGTTCGCACCTGCTTAATGAAAATATTTGCCATATCTGATAAGAACAGTTGAGGGTTAAAAGTCCTAAATATTTTGTGTTAAATTTTATAGGGATCCGCTGAGTTGCAGGCATTAATTCATTTCCTTCCGATCTCTATTGGACCTCTGCTCTCCAACAATGGCTATGCTAGTTGATATCGATCAAGGGTGTTAACGCCTTCATGCATGAATTAGCGTTAAGCATGTTGATTATATGAGGCTGGTTACACCACACTTTCCCCACAGAATTGGCAATATACCTAGGAAGATTGTGTGTGCGGATTCCATGAGAAAGACCCATGCAACTGGCCACCCACTGCCCATGTGGTTAGCCTTTTGTTGTTGTTTAGTCGTTTAGTGGTGTCCAACTCTTCGTGACCCCATGGACCAGAGCACGCCAGGCACCTCTGTCCTCCACTACTTCCCGCAGTTTGGTCAAACTCATGCTGGTAACCTCGAAAACACTATCCAACCATCTCGTCCTCTGTCGCCCCCTTCTCCTTGTGCCCTCCATCTTTCCCAGCATCAGTGTCTTCTCCAGGGAGTCTTCTCTTCTCATGAGGTGGCCAAAGTACTGGAGCCTCAGCTTCATGATCTGTCCTTCCAGTGAGCACTCAGGGCTGATTTCCTTAAGAATGGATGCGTTTGATCTTCTTGCAGTCCATGGGACTCTCAAGAGTCTTCTCCAGCACCATAATTCAAAAGCATCAATTCTTCGGCGATCAGCCTTCTTTATGGTCCAGCTCTCACTTCCATACATCACTACTGGGAAAACCATGGCTTTAACTATACGGACCTTTGTTGGCAAGGTGACGTCTCTACTTCTCAAGATGCTGTCTAGGCCTGTCATTGCCCTTCTCCCAAGAAGCAGGCGTCTTTTAATTTCGTGGCTGCTGTCACCATCTGCAGTGATCATGGAGCCCAAGAGATGAGCCATTATTTCTCGGAATGTTACATACGCTTCAGATTACAGACTCCGCTAACCCAGAAATATTACCTCGGGTTAAGAACTTTGCTTCAGGATGAGAACAGAAATCGTGTTCTGGCGGTGTGGCGGCAGCGGGAAGCCCCATTAGCTAAAGTGGTGCTTCAAGTTAAGAACAGTTTCAGGTTAAGAATGGACCTCTGGAACGAATTAAGTACTTAACCCGAGGTACCACTGTAATTTTCAAAGAATTCCCCCCCAAATATTCTCCACCATTTTTCTGTAGGGGCTGCCATTCCCCACCAATGACATCAGGTCTGTGCAAACATTGTGGAAGATGCAAAATGGTGGCCTGGCTTCCACACAGTTGCAATGATTGCAAACCAAACCACCACTACAACAACCTGAGGTCCTGCCACTGCTAACGGTGAATCCCACCCTGGAGAAACTGGGAAGAGTTTATCCTCCCCCTGGAAAAGTTTGTGAAATAAGTCTTCCAAATCTCTCTGGCCACAAGTATGATGAAATAATTCAAGAGGCCATTTGCACATGGCTCCAATCTAAAAATTTCGGATCAGCATAGAATCTACTTACAGACAAGAAACTTTCATACAGCTAGGCATGCCGCATATGAGAATACAAAATATACAGACCGTTCTCCAGCAGCGGGTGGTGAAAAGGGGGCACCGGAAGCTTCTCTATCATCCAGGGTTCACAGAAATAGGCCTGAAACCAAGCCACACACTGTTTCAGCGGCTCCGCTGTTTCCTCTGAGGCTTCACATACTTCACAAGACACAGATGCACCTGCAGGGCTAGAAGAATGATAACATTAGTTTAATAATTAGTTTCACAGTCTAACTGCAATTTTTTTTTACAATGTGGCAAACAAAAGAGTAAGATACCATCTCACACAGAATGAATTTCCCCAGCCCAAATACAAGAGCAGCAGAACACACCCACCCCCTACATCTGAGGAACTGAGCATCAAATTAGAAAAGGGGACCACAATAAAGTAGCTCAGTTTCCGTTTAAGAAGGAAAGGTCCAGGTAATGTTTACTTATGTTTTGTATTATTCAAGTCCAACAGAACAGAAATATCTTATTTTAACTTTCTACATCCCAATTAAAGTGATTTCAAACCCAAGAAAAAAGAATTTCCTGTTCTTAACTATGCAGACATGAGCAAAACACTGAAAACACTGAACAGCAACAGTAAAAGTGTCGTGTTACTATTGTTGAGCAATGCTTATAAACTAGAAAGCAAAATAAACCCTCTGTGTACTTTAGTGAAACATACATATAGGTGGTGAGAGGGACAAAACTAGAAGCTAATTTTTGCATTTGCACTTCCAGTAAGACTGCAATTAATCAAATATGCCACAGAGACTTCTATACAAGAAATGCAAGCCCAATGCTTGTGGTCCCTTCCAACTCTACAATTTGATGATTCTATGATTGCCAACTTGCAAATAGTTCTCATTTACTGGGAGCCATCTATTGTTTTGTATTGTTACGTTCCTTTTTTAGGATATGCAGTGCTTTTTTTGGGGGGGGGTGTACTCAAGGGTATTCAGTACTGGCACCTTTTTGGTTTGGTTTAGTTAAAAAGTGTGGAACTTACTGTAACAACTACATGGTGAATACCGGCAACTATTTTTCTAGAAAAATGCACTGAGGATATGAAACCTTAAGAATTTCTTGCTCCACTTCCCAGGAGAATATAGGTGGTATTCAACTGAAGCTTACTCAGAACCTACTGAAATTAATGGACCTAACTTAATCATGTTCATTTTCAATGAGTAGTTCAGGCTTCCTCAACCTTGGCCCTCCAGATGTTTTGAGACTTCAATTCCCATCATCCCTGACCACTGGTCCTGCTAGCTAGGGATCATGGGAGTTGTAGGCTAAAAACATCTGGAGCAGTGGCGTAGCGTGGGGGGTGCAGGGGGGGCCAGCCGCACCGGGCGCAACATCTAGGGGTTAGGGCAAATCCACAGGTTAGGGGGCGCAAATCCACGGGTTAGGGGGCGCAAATCCACGGGTTAGGGGGCGCAAATTACTTGCCTTGCCCCGGGTGCTGACAACCCACGCTACGCCACTGATCTGGAGGGCCGAGGTTGAGGAAGCCTGGTTTAGTTGAGTAAAACTTAGCTGACAGCTGTCCTTTTTAATCTCACCCCACAAATAAAGAACCCTAACAAACCTTTATTAACATCCAGGCTGTTTTTCTGGGAATTTATTGGCCTGTATAATTCTTATAGCAGAAACATTTTGTCTTAAATTCCTATTTTAAATTTATCTTAAGCGCTGATATGACCACACAAACTTCTGTTGTAGCATCGGAGTCCATAAATTTATATCATTATCAAGCAACAGCACAAGGTTACTAAAAAATTCTTGGGACTTTCCCAGGTGGGCAGAACATCCAAATAATGACTCATTGTCTCATTTGGAAATAGGAAAACTTGCTGCTTGCCTCTTTACTATTGAGCACACAGGACCTTAGCTGAATAGGGAAAGGTAATCTTCACATGTCAATCACCTCAATTGCTACTACAGCAGAATATGCAAAGAGACAACTTTCAGCAGGTACATTTTTAGAACAATTTCTATCAGCATGGGCAAGGAAGAAACTCCATCTTGGTTCCCAGAAAACTGTAACAGCATCCTCGCCTGTAAGTAAAGCAGTAAATACTAGCTCAGTTGTTAGCCAGCCAGTTCCCTATTTTTTTGGAAGATCCTACCAGTTTGCACCCACAGAAGTAAATATGTACATGCATTCAAGTTTATTTGTGTTATGTCACAACTGTTTCCTCTGCTTCTTATTACTCCCTTTCACTGGTAAGCAGTTTGCAGCTGAGTATTGACAACAGACAAACTGTCTCTGCAGTGCCAATCCTCTTTTCGTCTGCTAAGGTTACACTGAAATTAGTATTTGTGCATGTGTAGGTTGTTGCTTTCACTGTTGTTTTTTTTAACAGGCAGGTGTTTTCTAAACTTTTCTAAAATGGCGACTTGTTTTTGCTGCAATGCACCAACATCACTACTCCTCTATAAATGAGTATAATTTAGCATTTCTCTATGTTAGCCTCTTTCTGAATCAAACTCCTCAATTAAACACTTTGGCATGTAAACACACAGAATATTCACATACAGTTGCATGTACGAGACCTGCTGCTGGTGAACTAATCCAACGATAATAACCAGAACTACAACAGGACATCTCACGTTCCCGTACAACCAACCAGGTGGCTTATCTTGTGGAAAGCAGAATCTACGAACAACCAGAGAGGTCCAGTAAAGAAGAATGGAGTGGTAGGGAAAATTGGTTTTGGAGTTTTTTAAACAGAGGTTGTATAGCTATCTGTCAGGGATGCTTTACTTATGATTCCTGCATTGCATGCGGTTGGACTAGATATCCCCTGGGGTCTCTTCCAACTCTATGGTACTGACAGCATTTTGACTGGCAAGGGTAGCCTTCAGCTTCAGGCACACACAGAGAGTGAGGCAGACTACAGTCACCAATTCAGGGCTTGGAAAATGGAGGGAAACAAGGTGTGCAGGGACACAGGCTGCTATAGCAAATGTGACTCCTGATCTTGTAAAAGTATCCCCTTATAGTTTGCACATTTCATATTTCTGTTCAGTTATCAGATGCCTAGCCTGTGGAACACATTTTAATGTAAGTTTAAATAAATGTAAGTTTAAATAAATAGAAACACGTTACATTTCTCGCGTGAGTTTTAATAATACTTATTTATCATCAGTGTTTTCATACTGCCCTTCAATCACATTCCCAGGGTGGTTTATGAAAAGAGTAATACAATTAAAATGTAAATACAAAAATAAGTATTTTTAACACTTTAAAATGTGACATTAAAATATCCTTCACAACATCTTTTAAATGTTCCTTATACTATATGATGGAGTAAAATATACATAAAACACATATTATTAACATTCCATGTGGAAATAAATAAAAAGTTGTTACATCAACACCTTAATGTCATTTAAATAGTCTTCCTTTGATAGATGAAGGCAAAACTACCCCCCAAATTGCAGATGAATTGTCTAGTCCCTAATGATTCCAAAACAATTACAGGATGCAGAGCAATCTAGTTAAATTTTATTCAAAAGCTTACTACACTTGTGTTTTCTCTTATTTTTCTATCAATGAAACCCAGGAGGCTTAAGCACAATTCATTATGTATGAGACCCAACTTACAGTGCTTGACTGTTGATTAATAGGAAAGTTTGCAGTATGTACATTTGCAACATTAGATGCATACAATATGCTAACTTATTCTTCCACTGAAGCTAATTATTTACAAAAATGACTACTTGAGACTACAATTTATTAAATGCATGCATCCAGTCTCAATTTGGCCCCAAAAGACAGTCTGGAATGAAGATCTTTTACTTGATGTGACAACTTCTGGAAAGAGTGTTATTAATATTGTAAATGTGGCAAATAAAGAGTTCAGATAGCCTTATGTCTATTTTGTGTTTGTTTTTCACAGCTAAATCAATGAATAAAAACAGCTTTTCAAGAAGTTTAATACCCATATGAGAGACAAATTCTTTCTGCCCAAGTTTAAATTAACCATATAAATAATATGTCCATATATTAGTAATAATGATTTTTAAAAATAGCTTGACAACTGAAATACATGGGAGCGGGTATACTCAATCTTTCAATTATTCATTTTTACTGACTCTTCTTAATTTGTTAGAACAACATTTATTTTGAAGATATGCTTAAGAATCTCTAAAAAGCCCTTCACTGTAAACCTGCTTATAGTTTGGCAGCTCAATTAATTTCAGGTGAATTTTAGGTGGCTAGCAATTCACAAGACTGGACCCTGGTAAAGGATTTGCTTATGCACTTCAGAATAAAACGTACATGCATGCAAACTTATTGGTGTTTATGATTGATCAAGCAACATTTGGAAAGTTGTACTTGTCCATCAAATTCTCACCAACACCCAATATTCCTGATGTGACACATGGTTCATGGTTTCAAATAATACCTTTTTAGGCTTTTTGAAAAACCTGGACCCACTAGCATTATAAGGGTTCTCTGTTACAACATGGAATGAGACTGGAAGGACATAATATATTATTTTTTAATATATATATAGGAGTGGTTCTCAATCATCTCACCTAAGATGACTTCAGTGGTTAGGATGAAACACGTGACATAAACACAGATGCAAACACTACCACAAAATGCACACAGCATTCCTATTTGTGTAGCCTTCCTGTTGCCACTTGTGGTATCCAGAATGTGGCTCTCTCCATATCCTGTGTGGTTGATACATGCCACTACATATAGTGGTACCTCGGGTTAAGAACTTAATTCATTCTGGAGGTCTGTTCTTAACCTGAAACTGTTCTTAACCTGAGGTACCACTTTAGCTAATGGGGCCTCCTGTTGCCAGCCGCCGTATGATTTCTGTTCTCATCCTGAAGCAAAGTTCTTAACCCGAGGTACTATTTCTGGGTGAGTGGAGTCTGTAACCTGAAGTGTCTGTAACCCGAGGTACCACTGTACTCTTTAAAGGTGAGAGTAGAAAATGTTTCCTATCCTGAAATGCCAAGGAGTAAGGGTGGAATCAATATTAAAGCCATGAAGACTCAACTGATAGCATGGAAGGTCACTAAATGCTTTGTGCCATTAGGATTTTGACTGGATACCGTATATAAAAAATAAGATGCCACCTGGGGCAAATCTGTATTGCATCTCCTCCTTGATGCAAAAAAGGATCTATTTTGCAATGAGAAACTTGAACTCTCCAGGTCCACCGACATGGAGTTGAGGTTCTCGCGTATTAGATGGTCCGATGAGCTGGACAAGGAAATATCTAGGAGGTTACTCTCAGATAAATTCCTCATTAGGAGACAATCTCTTAAACTCCTCATGCCCCGAAATTAGACTAAACCTGTTTCAGGATTTGATTTTACTTCTTCAACCATGTTTGACCCCAAAAAAGGCAATTTGGCGGTCATTATACCCCAACAAATCTAAACCCTGGTTCGATCAGGAATGCCTTGCTATGAAGCTCTCTTTGATGGGAAAATACAGGAACTATAGGTCTGCCAATCAGTATTGGGAAGTCACAAAAGGACTAAATTTTATTCCTTTTGTGACTTCCTAATACAGATTTGCCTCGTAGACACCCTCATAACAAGGAACCCCAATATCTTAAAATCAAAGCCATCCTTTTTGTGAATAGTATAACTCAGACTTGCATGTACAGTACACTATATATTTTATACACACACACACAACTCGACATAAAACAAATGCACAGTCTTGTTAGTTTTGGCCTTAGAAAAGTTCTAGAATAATGTGTCCTTACAGAATGGTATAATGCTTCCATAATGGTGCCAAGGTCAGGTTTATCAGAGGCAATTAACTATGTGAGTAATTGCTTCAGGGAAACTTTAATATGCACACCTGACTTCAGTCATTTATTTTCTTAGATTCTCCATCTCAGGCCTTACCCTTCAGGTGCAGGTTTCCCCCCTCAGTACCGAACAATCACCATGTGGTGCAGCATTACCTCCTTTGCTTAGGCTGTCACCAAAATCCAGGGCCTATTTATAGGGAAAGCTATAGTCCACACAGCATTAATTGGCATTCATTCTCCACATGGTGAAACTGCATCATATTTAACTATGAAAATAATACAATCTGGCATTTCCTAATATTTTGATGCACTTCTCTGTGCTAGCGTTAGTGTGGTGGAATCACAGCAACTCCCATAGGAAATACTGTGAAATGGGCTGAATGTTACTAGTGATTTCTAAAACTGAACTCATCCCTTGCCCCTTATCTCACAAACATCATCTAGTGTTGGCTGTAGATAGAGACAAGATTCCAAAATGGATGCACCATTGCTTCTATACATTATGACAATACTTAGGACTAAGGACTTATCTACATGTATGGTCAACGGTTCTTCTCTCTCTTTAAATCGCCTACAACGTGTACAACTCATTACAAGTCCTATAACCAAAATGAAGCTGCTCTGGAAGCACGAAAAACAACAGCTTACAACTGGATTATGAGATAGAATGTCAAATATTCCAATAAAATGTCAAATATTAAAATACAGCTGTCTCAAATGGTTTATTTTCTCAACAAAGCATGGGCTCCTATTTGACATTCTGAATTAAGACTATCAGAAAGTTAATTCTTCATATACAATATGAATATCAAAAGAATCTACACAAAGTCAATCCTACATTTCCATTTATCCTATACAGTATATTAACTTCTCTTGAAAAGAAATCACTCTGCAGACATCATAGAATTACATAGTTCAAGGCACCATGCTCCACTTTATAATATATTGTACCCATCTCACCACTGTTTCTTTCAGAGTCTGGGTATGAGATGTACTTGGACGGGAGATTTTTCTATGTTCAGGATGATTTGATGAACCATGAATGGCCTGAGTTGAAATCGGGTTGAAAGGAATTTTGATTATGTTAATAAATCAGTTTTCCTATACAAGGCAAGGTATAAGAAATGTTCTAAACAAAATAGCTTGGCGGTTGTATACTTACACTGTGTTGCATAAGAGAGAAAGCAAAAAGAGGAACAGCACTCTATGTATACATAAAAGTGTTTGAGATTTTGTGTGCAATCCCATCATCTGGCTGGTGATTTTCTTCTTCTTAGGGAGATGCTTAGTATCATCAGACCATTGTTCCATCTAGATCAGTAATGTCTATGCTCACTGGTAGCAGCTCTTTAGGGATTGAGAAGAGGACATTTCTTACCTGGAGATGCTGGGGAACGAAAGTGGGTCTTTCTGAACAAGAAGCACCTGCTCAACCACTGAAGGGTAGCCCTTGCCCTATTGATACATGTCAATGATCACCAAGTTTGTAATTTACTGTTACTACAAGCTCCCTGCTGTAAAAGTGGGATATAAAAGTAACATACACATATTTTTAAATTTCTATAATGTACAGTATATATGATTTATACATAAATTCTAAACTTAATGTGATTCTCCTCTTCCATGAAGAGATAAGAGAGACTTAGACACAATCCTAGGGCAGGCTCCTGTTCAGCTAATGGTCGGGGCTAGACCCAAAGGGATGCAGGTGGCGCTGTTGTCTAAACCACTGAGCCTAGGGCTTGCCTATCGGAAGGTCGGCGGTTCGAATCCCCACGACGGGGTGAGCTCCCATTACTTGGTCCCAGCTCCTGCCAACCTAGCAGTTCGATAGCACGTCAAAGTGCAAGTAGATAAATAG